TGCAAAAGATGTCCAACTAAGGAATATGTATCACAAATAAAATACTTAATTATAGTTGACATACCTATAAATGCTTAATTGGTTCTATTTTTTTGAAATACAACCTATTATTTTTTCTTTCGGAGAAATAAAAAACTTAAGACGAAGATTAAATCAAACAGTTGCATGCAGAACTAACAATCACACATGGAAGTAGAAATGATGCGTTGATTTCAAAAATAGCATGTCTCAAAAATGAGTTTTGATAAAATAATAAAAATCAGTTTACCTTGATGCACGTTCAACTTACCTATTAGCTAAATAAGTATGAAAGATACATATTTAAGGACCTAAAGGCTTTTACTACTGGTTATTATTTGCATTACCCATTTATTCCTTAATAAAAAAAAACAATTGTAGTTTTTACCAGAATAAGAGGAACGGTTTATTTTTACTAGAAACAGATCAGTTGCATGTGCTGGACTTAACTTGTTTCTATGGTTTATGCAGGGTGTTTCAGAATTAAACGGACACGGCTTAATGGGAGGTAAAGTACACTTAGCTAAGTTCAAAATACCCCTATACTTAGCCTTTAATTTTAGTCGTTTCTGAGATATAGGGTGTTTTATAATTTTATGCCAAAACTAAAGTCGGCCATTTTGTTTGAACGGTTCGAGATATTTTTATAAAATTTTGTACAAAAGTTACACTTTCCTAGGTTCCTCAAAGCCATAATTTAATTTTAAAAAATTCCAGGACCCGATTTTTTTATATTGCTCTTCTTAGCTAGAATATCACCCTGTATATCGGATTTTATTAAATGTTACTGCACATTTAAATAGAATGTGGATCAATAAATAAAATAATGTAATAATATTTAATGGCACCATCTTGACTTTCTTACAGTAAATTTTTATAATGGCGACTACAATATTATAAATCAGTATTTACAATATTAAAATCAAATATTTTACTCTGTTCTTTTAAAAGAATACACAAATTAGGTACCATTTTTATTTCTTTTTAACTACATCTTTTTACATTACATCTACACAGGACCGGGCTCACTTTATTTAATAAAGTAATAGAATAAACTGACAGAAACAAATAATTTATTAAAACTGAAGTAGATTTTCAAAATGAACACCGTGAGCGTCAACACACCTCTGCGAACCTTTTAATAGGTTTTTCACTCATTTGTCAATTATTTCCGGTTTATTTCTAATGTTGTTACATACATTATTAATTTTTTCCAATAACTGGGCTCAGGTATTAAGTGATTTTTATAAATTCTACACTAAACATTTTATGTGTGTTCAAGTTGCTGTACTTTTTGTACATAAAATAGATACAAATTTATTTTTTTTAAGTTCTCCATACACTTGTTTCTGGTACCTAGGTACTGCTTATTTATAACTAATTCTTACACTAACAGAATAATGATTTTGGACCACCTCATTTATTTCCTCTCTCCACGTTCATCTTTAATTTATTATATTTGGAAATTTAAATAAATAAAATTTAAACGAACTAAAACTCTAATGAAATCAAATTTAAAAGTTCAAAAACTAGGTATTTTATAAACGAGCTGAAAATTCAATTAAGTCAACTGCCAGTATGGGCCAAATTAGGTACACCATCACTCAGTCCGTCCTAAACATGTTTAATGTAAAATTGTATAATACCAGTAAGCTTGTGTCAAATAATATCATTTATTTCATGTAGGTACAGTATTTTGGGGTAAATTACTTTTGTTTCTAATGGTATGAAAATAAGTATTTCAGGATGCCGTTTTAATTTAGTCATGAAGAATATAAAGACATTATTTTTGTGTTCGGTTTTTGTAACGAAAACGGTAAAGCAGCAGTAAGAGAGTATCGCAAACGCTTTCTCAATCGCCGTTTACCTTCTAAGACATTTTCGCAGGTTTTCGAATTCATTAAGCAACATGAAAAGTTTCCAACTTTAATTAAACATGAACATGCTACGAGAAATAATCTTCGACAAGAAGAGGAGATACTACAGATAGCTCGAAATAACCCTTCTATCAGTGTAAGAAAAATTAGTAATGATTAGCAGTACTGATAACAAGAGTATGGAAAACTTTGCATCCATTTCATGTACCAGAAGTACATCGACTTGAACCTGGAGACGACGAACCCCGCTTATCTTTTTGTAGATAGACTTTGGTCCATAGAAGGATAATATTGAGAATTTTATTTACTGATGAATCGCAATTTACACGTGATGGGATTAATAATACTAGGAATGGTCATATTTGGGTAACTAAAAATCCTCACATTGTATCACAAAAACATTCCCAATACAGATTTTCTATAAATGTATAGTGTAGTATTTATAAAAATTATTTAAGAGGTTCTCATGTTTTTGAAGGCAGATTAACAGCTAAAGTTTATTTAAATTTCCTCAGAGACATCCTGCCAAATTTGTTCGAAGATATTAATACCAAAGGAATGTAGTTTCAACACGATGGTGCTGGACCTCATTTTCAATACTGGTCAGAGACCATTTAAATCAACGTTTCCCGTTAATTGGCCACCAGGATCACCAGATTTAACACCTCTGTATTATTTTTATGAGCCTACCTTAAATCAGAGGAGTACAACGAAGAAATGAATACCCGATCATAGTTATTGGAAAAAATTAATAATGTAACACATTAGAAATAAACCGGAAATAATCGACAAATCAGTGAAAAACATGTTAAAACGTTCGCAGAGGTGTATCGACGTTCACGGTGTTCATTTTTAAAATCTACTTTAGTTTTAATTGATGATTTGTTTCTGTTAGTTTGCTCTGTTACTTTATCAAATAAAGTGAGTCCGGTCCTGTGACGATGTTCAATTTCTTTTTAAAAAATGCAGTAGTTAAAAATAAATGAATATAGTACCTAATTTGTGTAAAGTTTTAAAAATACAGAGTAAAATATTTTATTTCAATATTGTAAATACTGATTTATAATATTGTAGTCGCTATTATAAAAATTTACTATAAAAAAGCCATTAAATATTATTACATTATTTTATTTATTAATTCATGTACTATTTAAATGTCTAGTACATTTATTAAAATCCGATACACAGGGTGATATTCTAGCTAAGAAAAGCAATATAATAAAGAGAGTCCGGTCCTGGAATTTTTTTAAATTAAATTATGGCTTTGATTAACCTAACAGAGTGTAACTTTTATACAAAATTTTATTAAAATATCTCTATTCGTTCAAACAAAATGGCCGACTTTAATTTTGACAAAAAATCATAAAGCACCCTATATCTCAGAAACGAGTAAGATTAAAGGCTAAGTTTGGGGATGTTTTGAACTCAGCTAAGTGTACACTGCCTCCCATTAAGCTGTGTCCGTTTAAATCTAAACCTTTTATTTTTACATTCCGTATTTGTACAGATTGCTTTGCCTTTTTCGGCTTCCTTTTAGCCCTGTATCATTATTAAGTATATTTATTTTTTATAATGTCAACGTGTGCACAACAACGAATCAACCAAATTAATGGAGAACGGAATACGCGATACAGGTTATAACATTTCAATCCCGGCAAAAATAATATGTTTTGGACAAAATCTGTTTTTAATAAAAACAACATGGACATAAGTTGTTTTTGTCGAATCGACTATAATTTAGAGCGCTATAAATCGACACGAGAGCGGTTTTTGCAGGAACTGATTAGTTAGACAAAATCTCGAATTTGATAATTTTGGACTCATGATATTTTTGAAATCAACGTCTCAATTCGACTTAAAAAAACATACAGGTGAGAATATTAAAATATTCTAAAGCAAAATACAAAATATTGATAGACCAATAAAAGCCAATGGTTTAGGGGACAACCGGGCAAAAAAGTGAACTAAAGCGTCATAATGGCCTATAAAAAAAATTAAAGTTTACACTATCGAACATTAAAGCAAACTTTCATTACAGTGTCAACTATTTATTAATATTTAGGTTCCTGATCGTTACTGCCTTTACTTGATGAAAACCAATATTGTTTAAATGAGAAAAACCAAACTTGGTAGATTTTCACAAACACTTCTATTTTAAAAAATAATAAAACTTAAACATTCTTCATGATAATTGTTTCGAAGTACAAATTCTTCAAATGTGACTAATTTTCATTTTGGTGTCTAATATACAGGGTGTACCGACACAGAACAATTTGCCTCTATACCAAGTTGTACCCCTAGGGAGTTACGAAAGCCTAAAGTGGGGCCATAAATTTCAAAAAAATTTAATATATCTACAAACTTAAAAAAATCTATATTTGGTAAATTATTTAGGCGCTTTATATGTCTTAATTTGGGGATAAGATATATTTGAAATATTTAAAGGGGTGGTTTTGGGGTAACCCACCCTTTATGCAGAACATTTTTGGGTCGAATGACATTTGATCAAAAATACATTTTATCGAATTACATTTTATCTAAAAGACAACAGATCTAAAATTCATTAGATTGAAAAAACAATATATCGAAAACCACATTAAAAATACTGATGTCGTTAATGAAAACGCCGTATCTACAAAAATTACATTTTCAGATATTCGATATTTTCTGTTTTGTTTTGTGCCATCCACATTTTTAAAGATTAAGAATTGGTTTTTTGGGTGTAAATCCAGTTAAAGTAATGAAATATAAATATTACTACGCTATATTTTTAGTTCCCACCAATAAACGAAATTTGTATATACGGCTTTTAAAGTTAAATTATTTGTTATAAATATTAGATGATAATGCCGTATTTACAATATTTTGTAGATACGGTATTTTCAATTAATTAAATTAATACACTATAGATATTTTTTTTGCCGTATTTGAAAAATATTAATTTACATAGTTGAGTAGTTAAGTAATTAAAAATAAACTTTTTGAAATAAACATTTATTTGTATTAAAAAAATTGACCTAATATTAAAGTAACACTAAAGAGAATTCTTTATAATATTATGTGATAATATTTAACAATATTATATTTTAATAAAAAAAAATAAATCTACTCATCAGAATCTTCCATCTCACTGTCGTCCAAACTTGTGTCAGCCTGAGAAACTGGTAAATCTTTCCAAAAAATTAATCTATTTGTTGGAATAATTTCAGACAGCTTACTTAATATGCTTTCTTTTCTTTCTTTTAATATACCCTTCGGTTCTTTAAGAAGCTTAGGAGGAGGTACTTCACTCTTGTAAGCTTTTGCAGTTAGAAAATTGAGTGTAAGAAAATCGTCATTGAAATTTTTTTGTAATGTAAAGTGTGATCACCTCTTGTGAATCTGGCGTGCACCATCGACTGGAGATATGGCCGAGGAGACGTTTTACTTAATTTGTACTGAGACGTACAGTCAGGCCATTGGTAGAAGTTTTGAAGTTCCATGACAGCAACGATTACCTTTTTTCCAGATCTCGCATTCTCAACGCAATCAACAAAATCTTGAAAGTCATAAACTTTACCTTTTTTTCTTAATGAATTCTCCACTTGGTGGTGAAATGAGTCTGCACTCATAAAGGTGTGTCCTGGTTCGAAGAACTTAAGTTCAATTATTTGAGCAGCAACATCATCGCAGTTGATCATATGGACAAAAAAACAAAACAAGCCCCAATTCTTGTTCTGTGCACTGCAATTATCTAGCCAGTATGTAATATTTTCGGCATCTCGATTTAGTAATAAAAATATATGGAATGCGCTTGTGATATCAGATTTTGTTCTTACAGATATCGCCTCATGCCATAAAATAGCACATGACTTTTTTTTATTATAGGAACCGACAGGGACAAAAGACTCATTAAATGCGATAATTCTTGGTGTAAAAATTACCTCTTTAAACATGTCGACGCGCGGCAGCATTATTACCTAAAAAAAAATTAGTTTCGATCCAAGTCTGAAAAAAAACTTCGGCATACCTTTTGAAGATCAGCAGATACGATCAAACGAGCAGATTCACTTTTAGCTTTGCTATCTTGTTGGTAAGCTTCCCTTGAAAGATTTTTCCTTTCTTCATGGTTCTTCCATTTTTTACATACATTGCAATCATCAGGTAAATTCTTCTTTTCGTGGCCTATTTGTTTACAATGCAAATCGAAAACTTCACAAGACCAGCATTCTTCATGCCCAAGTTTACCGAAAGATATATTTCGGTCGGCAACTCCTTGTCGGTACACTGCATAGGAAACTTTTTTTAAAGGATACTTTTCTTGAAAATGTTTATACATGTACGCTATATTAATATCAGATGGAAGATAGAGTCTTCTTGGTGCATGTGCTCTTCTATAGTAAGAAATTGTTGGCCCAAATGAAGATATGTGATCAACAATAACATTCCGATCAATTTTCTTATTTGGAGTTTACTCTTGTTTGGTTTTTAGGTGCAAAAATCACAGTTCCTTCATTATCTGATTAAATTATGGATCTGAGGAATCTATCATCATGTGAATCATATCCTATTGTTCCCAAAAAAAAAAACTTTGCATACTCTATGACGATGACCAGTATCCTCTTTCAAAAAATAATGAACCACTGTTGATTTTCTTAATGACTCGGCAGAGACAACCACAGTTCTTCTTCTTATGGTTTCTCGTTTTACATGGTTTAATAAAAAGTTTTTTTGAATATCATTTGATGATTCCCAATACTGCTGATTTATAACTTTTCTACGTTCCATTGAATTTTAAACTGCATTTAAAAAAACATTTGGCATAGCAGGGCGGTTTTATTGTGTGTTTTAAAACCTTCTTAATTTTTTTTTGCAGCTATGCGACTAGATAAGGGAGTATCGAATTTTTTCCGCCTTCGTAGAGTACCTCTTTTCGTAACTTTATTGGAAACCTTCCATAACGTTAAATCTATTAATTTTTCTATTATTGGAGAGACAATAGCTGCAGCTGGTAATGAATCTTCTTCTTGAGGATCATTCCTAAATAGGCATTTTTCTTTTAAGGGATTTAATTCTAAAGTTTTGTCAGAGGAAGTGCTTGGAATAGCCTTTGTGTCCGGAATATCTGTTTCGCTTTCTAAATTTGGTAGATCTTGGAATGAAGTTCCTGCTTGGGAAGAAGCTGGAAGTAGGTTTATAACTTGCAAAGGATTTAAACTTGTAATTTTATGATGCGAAGGAATTTGAATAGTTTTTTTAGCCTGTAAAGAATTGATATTATCTACTAAGTATGGTTGATAATCAATGTCCAAATCATCATTACTTTTCTTCTTTTTTAGCTTATTATTCTGAGGAGCAAATCTTCCTTTTTTTAAGTTTTTATTAAAAATGGCCAATATCTTTTTGCCTCTTGACAAATTATCCATTTTGAAACTATATAGAAAAACAGAAAAACAATAATTTTTTAAACTTAAAAAACTACTAGAGGCACAAAAAACTTACCCACAAATATAGAAACACCCAATATTATATAAATATCTATTTGCATCAATGTTAATAATATTTGATATAACACAAAAACACAACTTATAAATTTTAATATCAACGCAATCTTACAACTAATTGAAAAAACAATATAACATGATCGAACGCGTCAAGCTTCTAAAATAAACTGCGAACATTATCTCAAAACAGGTTATTCATCGTATTTGTTCGGGTTTCTCTAACACTCCAACCCATCCGAGATCCAATTGAACAGTTAAATAACAAATTATTCGTCACGTACAACTTTTAAATGTAATCGACTGGTCAACTAGTTCTGACAGTTCTCAACGTATTTTTATAGAACGCGAGCCAAACTTACGGCAAACCGCCCTACCGTTTTACTATTAAAGTAAAACAACGTCTATTATTTTTAGGTCATTTTGCCGTATATGTACAAACACATGCATATACGGTGGCTTACGGCAAATTTCTTTATAGCAGGTAGCATAAATGTATATACGGCAAAACAAAACACATTTAAACTCCAACTTAAAAGGTAGATACGGATTTTTAAGTAAGGCGAATAGATGCAGGATGAATTATTCCAGTAGAAAATGCCGTAAACCAAAAATCGCAAAATTGTTGGTTATAGCGTTTTCATTAAGCACGGCAGAATAGTAGTATACAAAAAAATCAAACGATACCATACAACCGTCCGTCTGATCCCTGTTATCGGCGACATTAATTACATTAATTTACAAATTAATATTTTCAAAGCTAAACGATTATTTATCATCGAGATTAAAGCATTGTGATTAATTCGCACAAACTATGTATTTCAGTAAGGTCGAGTTGTCTTCTAATGGGACATTTTAGGTAAATTATTTTTTTCTATAAAAAAAATTAACTAATTTACCTAACCTGTGCGGTTTTCTTCACAAAAAAAAATTAAAAAAAAATAAAAAAAATAAAAAATCCTAGCTAACCTACCTAACCTGTGCGGTCTGGAGCCATTTTAATTTTATTTACTGCTCTCGCACAGGATAGGTAAATTATTTAAGTTTTTTTGTATAAAAACCTAAAATAATGTACCTAACATGAGCGGCTTGGGGTCATCGAGGATGGCTTCACAAAAAAAATAAACAAATATAAGAAAAATAAAAAAAAAATTAACCAGTTTTCTTCTCGATCATTTCTCTTTTTGATCAATTTTGTGCCACCCAAGTTTTTGTCATCATGATTACCTCAAAACCACCCCTGTATCTGTAACGTGTTGAGGGTGGGTTACCCCCACGGCACTTAGGCCTCACTAGATTCATTGCGCTTTCTTCTAAGATGATAGGCACATTAGACTGGGCCAAAAAAATGGACTATTTTTTTTTAAATATATCGAGAATGTCATACAGGATGACAAAAAAAAATTTCGTGAAAATTTGAGCCCTTATTAATAATTTTAAGGGGTCTATCATCGCTATTTTTGATTTTTAGTCATAATTTGATGTTTTACGTTAGAACTGTCAAAACATTAAAGTGAAAAAAATTCCTTTTCACTTATTTTGATATAAAATTAAATTCTCTACAAAAAATTTCAATTTTTTTCTTCGATTTTAATCGTGAATAACTTTTAAATTAAATTTAAGCAAAAATGTTAAGAGAGCTTTTTTGGGGAACATTAATTTTCCTATAAGAATCCGACGTGAGCTTTTTTTAATATTCATTGATTCATCAGTTACAAAATTTCAAAGTAAAATGGTATGGGATCTTTTATCTTTGTGGATCCCATCTTGTAAATAATATAGCGGTTTGTAAAAGGGTATATATTAATATAATGAAATAGACAATTCCGTCATGACAGAAAATTATATATATGACATTTCTTTTTTAAATAAATATTAATGCTTGGCAACCGAGGTCGTCAAGTAGATAGATAGGGTGCACTTAAATCCTGCCTCCCACTAAACTGCCTTAATAGGTAATATTGATATGTGTGGCATGGATGTGACATATGTATCAATATATTATGAGTTGGAGTTAGTATGTAGTGCTTCCAAGGTGCTACAAATGGACAAACGAAAAAACACATCGATCTGTTAAGCTCAATTACTCGGAAACGGCTCGTTTGACGAAAATTTTCTTCAATCAGACCTTTTTTGTAGAGAATTTAGTTATTTATAAAAATAAGTGATAAGTAATAATTTTTTCACTTTAATGTTTTGACAGTTCTAACGAAAAACATCAAATTATGACTAAAAATCAAAAATAGCGATGATAAACCTCTTAAAATTATTATTAAGGGGTTAAATTTTCACGAATTTTTTTTTGTCATCCTGAATGACATTCTCGATATATTTTTCAAAAAAAAATAGTCAATTTTTTTGGCCCAGTCTAAGGCACATCCTAGCTCGTGAGCCAGCCTACAGATTTAATGTAGTTGACAACGTCTCCAGGAGGTGCTTCTATTATATCCGCCAGTGTTAGCCGATACTCGCCAAACACAAATCTCTTAATAAATGAGAGCGTCGAGCAATAGTAGAGGATAGCTCGATGGTCTCATTTTCTTGTTCGCACCCTCTGCAGAGTGCGGATTCTGAGAGCCATTAGGTATAGAGATGCTTCCGTACTTGTTAGAATGCCTGTGATTAGGCGCATATTCTGTCTAGTCATAGTCAAGTACTTAGCTGCAGTATTATCGGAATAACTTAAAACTCTCTGGCAACTCTGCAGTTTCTTGTTTCATCCCTTCTTTCCTCGAATTTCACAGACGAATGTGCTTTAATTAGGTCTGTTCCTAGCGATTTTGTCAGGCCAATAGAAGGACTAGGTCCAAAAAGTATTTGGCTGGCTATTTTCTTAGCCAGTAAATCAGTAAGACGATTACCTTTCAATGTGGCGTGACCTTTGATCCATCTTAAGGTGACCACGTTGTTGATGGATACTTCTGCCAAAATTTTGTGACATTTTAGTACTAACCCTGAGTGAGTAGTGCTTGTCTGCTATCTGTATAGATAAGCATGTTCCTTCCAGTGATATTGTTTCTGGTGATTTCTTTTGCTGCTATAAGAAACCCCGTGAGCTTTGTTTGAACTACACTAGCACTATTTCTCACAGCCCACGTTATGTTAAGGTTTAAGGATCAGGAGTATATTCCAAATCCTGAGCCTTGTTTTGTTTTAGAACCGTCGGTGCAGATATTAATCGTATCTGCCACTTCCGACTCTTCTATTTGTTCTGTTATAACTTTATATGGCTTATGGAAACCATCCCTTAAAATATTTCAATTAATTCTTTACTCATCCCCAAATTAAGACTCATAAAGCGCCTAAATAATTTACCAAATATAGATCATTTTAAGTTAAAAGGTTGCAGAGATCTTCATTTTTTTCTAAATTTATCTCCATAGGTATTTTAGACTTCCTTAATTCCTTAGAGGTATAACTCGGCACATAGGTCAATTGTGTTAAATCATCATATTTTGGGGTGCCTAACACGCACCTGTTCTTTGTCGGTACTTATGCGGAACACCCTGTATATAAAAGTAAACTAACTAGTTAAAGTACTTAAAAAATATATTAATAAAATTCAAATGAGGTAATATCGGGATTATCTCACAGAAAACTAAGAACAGGTAAAGAAATTTAACAAAGGGAAGTTATTATCTAATTTTTTATTTAATTGGACATTTCAATTTTTTAATCTATTTGAAGTGTCTCTAAATCGTTTACTATAATTTGTTTAATAATATTTAATTCTTTTGTGAAGGTTTCTTTGGTAAGCGGGATATGAGTAAGATCCATAGATTATTTATTATACCGCTTAATAAACAAATTCAAGTTAATAATAGTTTTGTTATATTTT